GAATTTTTAATATTTATTTTTTAGTTCTCGGCGGACACAACATCTTTGTTGGTATGTGGTGCTGAGGATCGAACCCGGGCCGCACGCATGCCAGGCAAGCGCGCTAACGCTTGAGCCACATCCCCAGCCAATTGTACACTTTTTTTTAAGGGTAAATTTGAAGCTAGGTACAGTGATGCATGCTTGTAATTCTTGCAACTTTGGAGGCTGAGGATTGAAAGTCTGAGACCAGCCTTGGCAACTCTGTGAGACTCTGTCTTGAAAAAAAGGCAGAGGGTGGCTGAGGATGTGGCTCAGTGGTAAAGTGCCCCTGGGTTCAATCCCATACCAGATTAAAAACAAAAAAAAGTAAATTTTATGGTCTGGCCTATGAATTAAAGGGCACTTACTATCATCTCCCAGGAGGTCACCAAGGACTTCATCGATGGAGCCTGGAACAGAAAAGGGCTAGCATGACTTAGGAAGGAAAGAAGAATAGTGTTTACAAACCTCGAGTCTTGGGACTCCCCCAAGACCCTGGTCTCTCAATGCTGGGTCATGCGTGGCTCTGCCTTCACTGGCCTTGGAGTATTTTCTAACCCTCTGGCAAAGTCACCACACTTTGTTGAAACACCTCAAATATAAATTTAAAATAACTTTCTCGAGCTGGGGCTGGGGCTCAGTGGTAGCACACTTGCCTGGCATGTGTGAGGCACTGGGTTCGATCCTCAGCACCGCATATAAACAAACACATAAAATAAAGATGTATCAACAATAAGAAAAAAAACTTCAATTAAAATAACTTTCTCAAAGGATGCTGGTGAAGCTTTTCAGTAGAACCTCCTTTCAACATGCCTCCCCCAAAACACACTGGCCAACATTCAGTGTTCTGGACTCTGAAAAGTCCAGTATGAGTCTTTGGGAAAAGCATCCAAATTTCTAGGCACATGCAAGCTTCTTTCATGCCAATAGCTTCCTTGTACCTTTCCACCTGACACACCCCCCTCAGTGGTCTGGACACACCTTCTCTGGCCACTTCCTGAGCGAGCATGTCGGGGAAACCCAGGTCAGAACACTGAATCAGTTCTCCCACTTGGCAAAAGTGCCTTTACCACACTTAACCCCAATCAGGTCGCCTGAATACAGGAGCCAATGAGAAGAATTTCTTCCAAAACCTCATTTCTTTTCTTCTTCTTCTTTTTTTTTTTTTTTTTTTTGGTGGTGTAGGTGATGGAACCAACACACAAGGCAAGTGCTTTACCACCAAGCTAACCCCCAGCCCCCAAAACCTCATTTCTTATTTATTTCTGAATTTCTCTTAAGAGCCCAAGAGGCAGAATACTGAGTCCCTAGGAGCACACAGGCTGCCTGTGGTCTTAAGGGAGAAACAAGACTCTCACCAAGAACATTTAAATAGACATGTCTATGTTGTGCTGGTACCAAAGGGAAAAAAAAGAGACACACTGGCTTAAGGATGATGTTCCATCTCTCTACTGACCTTTCAGTCCCTTCTTGGTTTTGGATGCCTAAAAATGGGAAAAACAAACAAAGAAACAAATACACACACACATTAACAAAATCAAATGGTGAACTTGTGTTGAAGCTAGAAAAGAAGAATAGTTTTGCTTTAGGAAGAAACACCAGTGGCATTTTCAGACAGAATTTCCTTTATGTTTTCTTGTGTCTGACAATGGACTTACTCAGAAGATAGCAAAACCCGCCACTAAGCAGCAGTGGCACTCATAAGAGGACAGAAATTTCTTCTTTTCCCTGATTTCCAAATACCACATGGAAACCCTCACAGCTGGGATACAATATGACTGGAAATGTTTCTTTCTATTCCATGAGCCTGAATCCTCAGTACTACTGATGGTTACTTAAAAAATGCTCCCAGCTGCTGAGTGTGGTGGTGCATGCCTATAATCCCAGAGACCTGGGAAACTGAGACAGGAGGATTACAAGTTTGACTCCAGCCTCAGCAACTTAGTGAGGCCCTAAGCAACTTGGCAAAACCTTGTCTCAAAATAAATAAATAGATAGATAGATAAGACAGGGGATATAGTCAGTGGTAAAGTGCCCCTGGGCTAAATCCCCAGTACCAAAAAAAAAAAAAAAAAAAAAAAGAGCTCCCAGTTGGGCTAGGGATGTAGCTCAGTGCTAGAGCTCTAATCTTGGGTATGTGAGGTCCTGGATTCAATTCCTAGTATCACAAAACTAAAAATGCTTCCAGCTGTACATTCAGAAGCTCAGGAGAAAACCTGCTGTAGTTTTAAGTCTGAGAACTTGATATCAATGCTTTTTCTTATCACTCTTCTCTGGGGATCACATCCTGGTCCTTGCCATGCATCTCCCAAAGCATTCCATACAGTCAAGATTTGGGGGGCCCAGAGTGGGGTGAAGGATGGCGTTCGCATTCCTACACATCTTCCTATGCCTTTTGCTTACCATATCAGGGATCTTGGGGGCTGCTTGAAGGTCCTTCACAGCACTGTCCAGCTCATCTGAATTCTGCCCACAGCAGGTTCATCTTCCCTGATGAACAAAATTGAAGTGGTTGCTTAAAAACAACGTAGCTTTAACAGAGCTTGACTCCTAGGGTTATCAAGGTTTCTTCCACTTTATTCATTCAAGGGGACAAAATCTACTTCCATACATTAGAAGATTCTTATGGGAGGCTGGGAATGGTGCCTGTAATCCCAGCAATTTGGGAGACTGAGGCAAGAGGATTCCAAGTTTGAGGCCATCCTCTGCAATTTAGAGAGGGCTTAAGCAACTGCATCAAAATTAAATAAATAAATAGGGCCAGGGATGTGGTTCAGTGGTAAAGGGCCTCTGGGTTCAATCCCCAGTAACCACTCCAAACCCCCCCCCAAAATTTCCTTATGGGAAAGTGATTCAGATGAGAAGCAAAGTATTCTGGATAATACGTATTCTGAATAATTGAACAAAGTGCAGTGGTCAGTGTCCTTACACTAAAAAAGGATGTGGAAAATAACAGGGACCCACTTCAGAAAGGTGGATGTCTGGAAAGGCGGCCACTCCCTTCCCAGACAACATTCAAGATTACTTTCTAGACAGCATTGGGCACAAAGTGCACGCTGTGTTCTCTGGTTACCCCTTGACTCGATTTTCACTGATGGTGGAAGATCTCCCCTCACTTTGGCTGTACCTGGAAGTCTTCCTCAGAATTACCTGTCTCCCTCCAGCTCCTCTTTAGGGAAACCCACCTTCGCCACGCCAGGTTAGAAGGAGTCCGAGGCGGTCATGTCTGTTTCCCGGGTGTTGGCCTGTCCTGGTTTTAGAATGTCACGTTTATATATAGGGGTTTGGGACAAAGGCCACTTGGAATGCTTGTGTTTCGGTTTCCTTGCAGTGGCAACTTCAGGGACCCACAGGTCCAAACGCGTTTTGCTCATAACAGGGGCACCGGGAGGCTTCTGTCCCAGCTTCCCAGGCGGCGGGAATTTTCTAGGAGAGGTTTGTCGCGTCAACCCGTCTACTGGGCCAGGTCCACGTCAGGCATTTTTTTAAGCCCCGAGCCCACCCAAGCCAGAGCCCTTCTCAAGGTCCCTCGTCCGTGACACTGCGTGCTCAAAGCGTCGCCCCCGCGCGCCCAGCCCGTCCTGACCCGAACACAGCCTGCAACCCCCAAGCCCCTGAGGTCCCTATTACGCGCCGTCCGCTCGCAGGCCCGGCCGCGGGGACCTGGTCGGGCCAGAGCCGCTGATTACGGTCTCACTCAGCCCGCCCGACGCAGCCAGGCCTCCCGCTCCCGGCCGCGCCGTCGCCGAGGAGCTTCAGGCAGCGCGAGGCATCCTGGGAGTTGTAGTCCGCGCCCGTTCACCCGAGGACGGAGGCGCCCAGAGTCACGCTTCCCAGCGTGCCCCGCGGCGAGCCCATCCCGGGCTCCGCGCTTAGCTAGGCGCTGCCAGGCGCTACTAGGACGCCACTTGGGGGAGGGACACGCCCGCTCTCGGCGCTGGGAGGCAGAGCATTCTTTGTCACGAGCTCTGCGGAGGACTCAATAGTGGCGGGGTAGGGACCTGAGAAACGTGTTGGCGGGTGAATCCTTAAGTAAATTTTGTACTATCCCACGCCAAGCTTGAAGGGAAGTGACTGTGGCTTTCCTGTTCATTGATCAAAGTTGCGCAGCCAGAGTGAAACCCAACAAAAAAGACAAAAACTTTTTGTCTGTGCTTTTTATTAAGGGTTATTCAGTTTCACAAAGCAAAATAGGAGTAGTGGTTTGGCTTACTCTCAGATCAAGCAATACTGGAGGGTCACTGCTATCCCATGATTCCCACTCCCACCCCCACAGGATGGTCAAGCCAGGGTTGAGTACGAATTCCAGCTAAATGCAGATTAAGTAGGAACCAAGATTAAACCAGTCATTTAGTTGAATCCATAGCTACTGGAAATTAGTCAACAGTCTGAATATTATGTTAACCACACATGTGCTACCTATAAATCATCTTATGAAACAGTCAACAGTATTGTACCAAAACTTTTTTTTTTAACTGAGAATTCTTGAAATTACTCCTAATTGTCCTTACAGTCCCAAGACAATCAATGGCTCACTTAAATTTAAGGCAAAACAAGGGATGATGCAGTAGCTCAGTGGTGGAGCACTTGTTCAACATGTGTGAGGTCCTGGGTTTCATCCCTAGCACTAGAAAAAAAATTAGACAAAACATCCTGAATCTTGGGATCTGCAATCAGTAAGTGGTTTGTAACCCTAAAGCAAAACTCATTATATATTCATACTATCTATCATAGATCACATGACTAGGCACTGAAAAATTTTGTGTGGACAATTGTAAAATTTTTCAATTTTAATTTAATGAAGTAATTTAATTAGAGTAATTTGTTTTAATCATATAAGAACTCAGTACTGAATGCTAGCTGATTTTCAACTCCATCATTTCATGAAAACCATCAAAACTTATCTAAAAAGAATCAACAAGTCTTGGTCTCAGGCTCAATTTCCAAGCATAGTTACTGCTTGAAGACAATCTGTAATTCCAGGTATACCCTCCACATATATAAAAGTTGACTGGTGTTACAGACCATGTGCAACTAATTCACTTCTTTCCTAATAAGATGGGTGGGAAGAACTCAGAAAAAGGGGGGGGGGAGAAACTGAGCAGCAATTGTCCAAAGACTTACTGATCCCAGAGAATTCCAGGATGATGGAAAGTTGTATTTCTCCAAAGCATTATAATGAAGAATTAAGACCTAACATGTTAGCTTTAGGAACTATAAAATGCCTGCAGATATGTGGAACCTGAAATCATATGAACATAATTAATATCATAATTAAGCAAATGTCCTTAAGATTAAAGGCCACAAAGGCTTGGGACCAACTTTTTTTTTTTTTTTTTTTTTAAGTATGGAACACTTCACAAGTTTGTGTTGTCCTTACATAGGGGCCATACTAACTTATATAGTTCCAATTTTAGTATATGTGATGCCAAAGCAAGGACTCAACTGTGCTTGGAGGTCACTAATGTCCAAACATTGAAATACCTTGGCATTCATCTATTGGGGCAATAAATGAGGAAGAAGTTCAATTTCCATTCATTTAAAATAACAAATATCTAGTTAGCGTCAAAATTTCATTTTTAAAAAAGGTTTAGTATTATCTAGTAGAAAAATCTCATTAATAATATTCATTTACATCTGCTACTTGTTCAGTCATTGTTCCTTTCTTGCTTATTCTTAGCGTTACCAGGACCTTACAAACCTACATTTAAAATTTCTTCATAAGTTAAACATATTTGTAAGGCATGCTTTTCCTCAATAGTACAAATCAGAGATTTTACTACATTTTTAATCTTTGATTACATTGCACAAAGTTCAAGACAAAAACATTCCAATATTAAGAAAAATACTAGTATCAAATGTCATATTTAGTTTTAAAATAAAACTCAAGATGCTGAATGAAGATGACTTTGTGGGCCCACAGTCTCTGAAATCTGCTAAGACTGATCCCAGCTCTATGTAGCTGGATTAGGTGGGTCAGTTCAGATACCATAAAATGCTGCCTATAAATGTTCACCTGTGAATACAGCATTTTAACACTAATTCTGAAATTAACTCCTTTTTTGTGTTTGCTAGGAATTGAACCTAGGGCCTTGCACATGCTAAGCAAGTGCCTCCACTGAGCTATATCCCCAGCCCTTTTCATTTTATTATTTTTAAAAATATTTTTTAAAAACTTAGCAAGACAGGAACTTGCTAAGTTTCTCGGGCAAATGAACCTGCAATTCTCCTGCCTCAGCCTCCCCAGTAGCTGGAATTATAGGAATGCAACATGCCTGGCAATTCTACATTTAACAGGTTAATATGGAGTCATATAATTCATTTCTTAATTTTCCAGAATCTGAATTGTCAATATACAGCCAATGAGTGACAGTGCAACTCTTCAATCGTAATACTATTATCAGTTCTCAGAGAGAAAAAATTAAGGCTGTGTCAATAGACAGTATTTCTGTTGTAACCTAAAAGTCTCACTCATATTACCAGCTCCCGTGGGACAAATTTTATGTCAGGTTCATAGAAGGAAATTGTTTCCATTGAATTTATTATCAGAAACTGTCCTAGAAACTTTTTCATGAGTAAGGGACCACAAAAAGCCTTTTTTTTTAAAAAAAAAAAAAAAAGATTAAGTGGTTGGCACAGTGCCCATGCCTATAATCCCAGTTACTTGGGAGGCTGAGGTAGGAGGTTTCAAGTGAGGCCAACCTCAGCAATTTAGCAAGATACTGCCTAAAAATAAAATAAAAATGAAAAGAGCTGGGAATGTAGCTCAGTGTAGAGAGCCCCTGTGTTCAATACCCAGTATTGAAAAAAGAAAAGAAAAAAAAAAAAAATCAAGTGATATTTTTTAACATTGATTTAAAAAAAAATTTCATTAAAAGGTATATGTTTAACCTTTAAATACAGAATGATTGTGCAAATTAGATTTCAACTGGAAGAACAATTTAGCAACTCATATAAAGCTCCTTGAAACATACAACAAAACCAGATAATAGGAAACAATCTATGGAATTTTCATTTACTCTTTAGTCGTTTCAATTATATTTTCTAAACAAAAATCAGAACACATGGTTTGTATCAAAGGGTTTTTCTGGGTATAAGTGGTGACCTAAGTGAAATTTTCATTTATTTTTCTAATGCCAAACACTTAGTAGTCTCCAAGTATTTTAATGGCTTATGCCTAGAAGACAGAACACAAAATCTGGATTGTCCCAGGAAATCTAGTTAATAAGGTCACCAAAACTATAGCAGTGCCACAGCTGCATGCAGATTCTGCCTATATGTACTCTACTAAGGAATGTTTTCCTCCCTTCTTCAGTACCTCTTTCAGAGGAATGCAAGAGGAAGGGAGGGAGGGAGAAGATGAACACACTGATTGAGGCCCCAGCAATGCCCAAATGTCATATATAGAAATAACTTTGCTATTTATTCCTTCCCAAGAAGCTGAGGACAAAAAAGAGTCATAGTCCTAGAATGATAGTTAGAAATCCCTACAGTGGTGATGAATTCTTAACTAGTAAGACAAAGGGCCTGCAGAGGGCCTCTCTCAAAGAGGCCTCTTGGAAATGCTAATGTGGGTCAGAAGGGAGCAACACATCAGCAAAGGATAGAAGCACACAGGAAATGTGCCAAGCACACATTCACTCACATTAGGTTTCCTATTATTCCTTTCCCCATCCCACTTCTTCAGTCCTACTTTTTAGCCAGTCCTAGTAGGAGCAACAGGTCATCTAGCAGGAAAGCTTGGAAGGATTCTGCCCCACTTAAAAAGTACTTTTGCTTAAACACACTTAAATAGCCCATGATTCCAGTGATTAGCAATTAAAATTCAAAAAATAATTAAGTACTTAGTAGATAAATTCTAATTATCAAAAGTCATGACCTAATGGGGATCAGCAGCATTACAAATGGAAGTCACACTGCCATTTCTTTAGTTTTTTCTGAATGCTTGAGAAGTCTCTTTCAGTGTTAATTGCACTTAGAACGCATCCTTTTTTCAATTTAATCTCTGAAATCTGTTCATTATTTTCTTCATTTATAAAAAGAGAAAAAGGGCCAATTTATCATTCGTTCTACAGCTATATGAATGTGATAAAGATTCTGCACAGATGTGTGCCTTGGGTAGGAGAGAGAGATGCACACAGCTGCTTTCTGGAGCCACCGTAACTTGTCCTTCTCACACTTCAGAGCTTGGACTGCAGTGGCTTCAGGTGCTTGTAGTAAGATTCATGGACCTGTAGAGAAAGGAGAGGGGAGAAATATTGTTACAACCTTGCCATATTGCCATGTAAATAGCCTACTTTTAATGAGAAGTTATCTGGGCTTCATTTGGATTCAGATTCAAATTAGGAAGAAAAAAAAAAACCTGAGTCAAATTGAGCAGATATGGACTCGGAAGGCCAAGACAGAAGGATTGTAAGTTCTTGGCAATTTAGCAAGATTCTGTCTCAAAATAAAGTGTTCAATTAGTTATTAAATATTCAAGGAAATTAAAACTCTGTTTATTGTGGGAGTAAACCAGTTCCTTTCTGAATCTGTTGCTCAAATAAAGTGGCCACAGTGCTTTTGGGCTTTCCAGAGGCCTTTTCTACCTCATACTGAAAAAAAGAACTTCAGTGGGCTGGGAGTGTGTCTCAGTGACCTAGTGCTTGCCTTGCTAGTATGCATGAGACCCTGGGTTCCATCTCTAGCCCTACAAAAAAATAAATGAAGAACTTCAGAAGGCAGAAAGAATGTGTTTCTTACCTCTGTTTGGTTCAGTGGGGATTTCTTGGCCCACTCAAACAAGTTTTCATACACATTCCCATCGTAACGGCCAAGAACAGAGCCCAGCGTCACATCCTTAAAATCAAATGCATCAACCAAAGCAACAGCATTGGGGCGAATTATAGTGAGCAACTCCATTATACGCTGATTCACTTGGGTAATCTGAGACCCTGTCATGATGTTCCCCTAAAGTAAACCAAAATAAATACATAAAAATATGTATGTAGACAGAGGTTTATATACAAAAAACTATAATAGATAATAATTATTTGTCTACTTAAAGAATTCTTACCTGAAGGAAATCCCCTGCCTTCTGACTTATTCCATACAGACAATACAAAAGACATAGGTTCCTTAAAACAGCTTGGATGGATTTATCTTGAATTTTGAGGAGTTTTTCAGAAAAGAGCTTAACTACCACATAGTGGCAATGTGCCTAGATAAAAAAGAAAACAGTGTGTGGGGACCTTGGGGAAGACCCCAATACACAGCAACCAGGCCTATAAAGAAAAGTGGGGTGGGCAGAGGGAGGGGAGAGAACTACTACTGACCTCACTTGCTCGAACAAGGTCAACAGAAGTTAGGTTCCATGCTACCTCCTTGCTTTTCCTGTGACTCACTTCATTTCGAAGATTTTTTGCAGCAATGTCCACTAGTCTATTAAGGAAATGAAGGAAAAGTGGAGAGCTGAGGAAATGATCCACAGTACTCATGCCTTCTCTAATCTACCCTGCCCAGAAGACCCCACAGCTGGGTCTTTGAGCTTCCAAGGGTGAGCTCACCTGGCTGCACGAAGCTTGTATGCTTCTGTCAGGCTGTCTGGACTGTTGATATCCACCACAGTTGGCCAGACTGCCACTTGCTGTGGCTGGATGCGCTGACTGGGCAGGTCATTCAAATAGGACACCATGCCACACACCAGCTCTCCTGAGTGCACGTGGTCATAGCTTTTCATCAAGAACCTATAATCACCAGTACATGTACTTTTAGTAACCCCACTCCTGAAACAGACTGCACCACGTGACAGGTATTTCAGACCTGCTAGACTGACCACAGATAAAAACAGTGAGTCAAGACAGGTGCCAAACTATGTCTTTTGCAAACAAATATACACGCACATGCATGAGAAAGCATGGCAACAGGAACCCATGGAAAGGACTCAAACCAATAGGAGACATCGTGAATTCAGTTCTCACCTGGCTGTCTGTAGCATCATGACAGTGTTTTCTCCTTCGAAGGTACAGGCTGGGGTGAAAGTGACATAAATATTTGGAATACCACTGCTATGAGAATAGCCATGACCACCACAAGCCATCCGACACTCTTCAATAGCAGCGTTTGCCGTCCAGGTGGTGAAAGCTTTAAGCCCAGCAGTGAGGGCATGAAGCTGGGGGACAAGCACAGTCCGTAAGAACACCTATGGTGCTCAGTGTCTGTGTTCCAATGAGATAACACACACCTTTCTCTAACCCATCAGCTGCTCTCCAAATTAAGTGAAGCAGCAGTCAGCTGACCAGCCTGAATTAATAACACTCTCACACTCACTTCTGAACATTTGACTTAGCAAAAGTCACCCCTTTTTATGTTCCCTTGACTGACAAATGACCACTGTGGTTCAATACTTAAGATACTTAAAAACAAAACCCAAAAAGTTAAAATCATCTTTGTATCTGACCCACTTTCAATCAGTTAAAGTACCAAGAATACGTCATTCTTTTCAGAAAATACCCGTGTAGTTTCTTCTGGACATTTCCCAACAGGCAAATGTGAAACAGAGGCTGGGGATATAGCTCAGTTGGTAGAGTGCTTGCCTTGCATGTACAAGGCCCTGGGTTCAATCTCCAGCACCAAGAAACAAACAAACAAACAAATAAACACAGTTGTTTTAAAAAAAAATGTGAAATGGAAGGGCACCCACTAGTAAATGAGACTCAACATGTACCTCAGGCAGCTCACTCAGATCTCCCTGGCCGATGCCCTCGTTAATCCGATGGTAGGTTTCCTTCATGTATGCGCCTACAAACTGGAAGGCATAGGCAGTGGCCAGAAGTGGAAAGAGTTTATACTGCTGGGTTTGAAAATCCAAAATCTGTGGTTCTGGTTCACTAAATTACATAGACAAAGAAAAAAAGTAATAAATAAATGCTTAATCAGAAATTGCCATGTGCTAGGTTCTGGTCTAAGCACTCTTGAATCACTTATTTATCCTCATAAAGACCCTGCAAAATAGCTGTCATTATCTTCATTTTACACTTAAGAAACAGGTTAAGAATCAGAAGTCACACAGCTAATGAGTGGCAGATCCTCAACTTAAATCTAGTTTCTTTGGTTCTGTAGACCATGCCCTTAGCTTCTTTTCTGTACCACCACAGGTGGACAAAATCTTATAAGTGCAAAAGTCCCATCCATCCTAGTCTTTTCAGTATGACTAAGGAAACCACGCTTCTTGGGCAACAAACAAAACCAAAGCTAAATAACCTCATAAAAGGAACGGGATGCCAACAAGGTCCAGCATTCCATATGGTGAATCAGCTATTTTGACCACAATCTTGGAGAAGACCAAATACATAGAGATAAATATTCTGAAGTGTTAAGAATTAATAAAGGTCTGCTCTCTCTTTTTTAAATTTTCTTATATCTTTATTTTGTTATTTATTTTTATGTGGTGCTGAGGATCGAACCCAGGGCCTCACATGTGCAAGGCAAGCGCTCTACCACTGTGCCACAACCCCAGCCCCAAGGTCTGCTCTTATTGGCCTTTTTTTTTTTTTTTTGTACTGAGGAACGAACTCAAGGGCAGTTGACCACTGAGCCATATCCCCAGCCCTTTTTAGTATTTTATTTAGAGACAGGGTCTCACTGAGTTGCTTAGAGTCTCACTGAGTTGCTGAGGCTGGCTTTGAATTCATGATCCTCCTGCCTTAGCATCCTGAGCTACTGAGATTATAGGCATGTGCCACCACACCCAGCTCTCATTGGACTCTTTCTGAAGCCCTGGGGTTCAAACCCAGGGTCTCATACATGCTGGGCAAGTGCTCTACCACTGAGCTATACTCTCCAGCTTCAGTTTCTTTATTCTTAAGGGAATCAAGTTTAATGCTACTTCCATTATATACAACTTGTAACCATTATCAGTAATGGTTACATTACTTACTTTCATACTGATTTCAGTGTTTTGAACATGTCCTTTATAATACTTCAAATAACATCATTTCTATTTACTTGGAAGGCTAAAAAATAATAAGGCGGGCTCAAGATATAGTTCAGTGGTAAAACCTGGCTTAAAATGCTTGACACCTTGGGTCAGATACCCAGCCCTAAGGTGGGGGGCAGCAGTAAGATGGTTATTCTCATCTTTCCTCTCAAAACAAGGTAGTCTAGATACTAAGTAAAAGGCCTAGTACACTGCCACTCTATATTTTTGTTGTTGTTGTTTGTATTGGGGACTGAGTCCAAGGTCTCATGCAGGGTCTTACTAAGTTGCCCAGGCTGGCCTTAAACTTGCAATCCTCCTGCCTCAGCCTCCTGTGTAATTGCGAATATAGCTATGGGCCATTGTGCCCAGCCACCCTAGCTAATTTTTCACAGCTAATGAATCTTCTCTACTCATATTTAATTCTGATATCTCAATATCAGTACTACACCATCTCAGATGCTATCCTCACCCTGGCTTGATTTCAGACTGATGCCTCACAGCGCTGTAGCGGATGGCAATGGTGCAGGCCTTGGACAGAGACCGAGCTGCTTCTCCCACAAGGAAGGACCTGACGAACACCATGGTCCCATAGGTCAGCTTGTCACTCAGAGGTTTCACATATGTGCCATCAGGTTTCACCTGGAAGAACAATATGGAACTGATGCTTCCTTCTGTGAGCCCAGTGGTAGTTTAATGGTTCTCCAAGTGACGTTCCTGGAACAGCAGCATCAGCAATGACCAAGAAACTTGTCTGAAATAGTACACCTCAGTGCCTACACTGACTCACTAAACCAGAAATTCTGGGGGTAAGGCCTGCGTTTTAACCAGTCCTCTGGATCATTCTAAAGCATGTAAAAGTTTGAGAACCAGAGTTTAAAAACTAGGTTATGTTCTTCACCCCTGTCAACTGCTCCTGATTTCACTGCCTCAATAAAAGAAGCATCAAAAATAAAAACATCATCACCTTATAAAAACATATTATTCTAGCCCATGGTTACCAATGGTTATCAGTAGCCATTAGACCCCCATCTGGGCATCCTGGGCCCTGTTTTCTAGCTAAATATACCTGGGCGTATTTCATCAGCATATTTTCTCTGGGAATACGATAGTTGTCCATCTTTAGGTAGCCATTGTCCATCTCTTCATAACCAAATTTGGGGCCAATGTCTCCAACAGTAATACCTACAGCAGATGACAGAAAGACATGAGATTCTTGAATCCCTAATGCAACTTCCTGCCTCCTGTTTAGTTGTGCCTACCCTTTTTGCAAGGCAAGTGCTCAGTTTAATTTTCACCTTGACATCCAATGAACATTCCTTACCTGGCAAGGGCTTGTGGGTCCCAATTTCACGAATAGGTACGATGAAGGCATGTAATCCATAGCACTTCCCCTGAGTGAAGAGTTGGGCAAGAACTATAGCATGATTTGAAGTCTTCCCGACTGCAATATCAAAGAGAACAGGAGACAGTGAGCAGGCAGATGCTCTTATATTTTTAAAAGGTACAAACAGAAGAGTGGACAACAGTGTGTTAAATTAACATAAGCCAGAGCAAGTTGTCTAGACAGCCCCCATTTTTAAAAATATTTTTTAGTTGTTGATGGACTTTTATTTTATTTATTTGTATGTGCTGCTGAGGATCAAACTCAGTGCCTCACACATGCTAGGCAAGTGCCCCAGCCTTAGACAGCCTTTTTAAAGACAGTCTTCCAACTAGTTTTCAGAAAGAAGTCACTTAAGTTCAGTTATTAAAATTTATTAAATTTTGGCAAAGCAATTCTTCATTTAAAAACAGCTTTATGGGGGCTAGGGATGTGGCTCAAGCGGTAGTGTACTCGCTTGGCATGCGTGCAGCCTAGGTTCGGTCCTCAGCACCACATAAAAACAAAGATGTTGTGTCCGCCGAAAACTAAAAAATAAACACTAAAAAAAAAAAAAATCCTCTCTCTCTTAAAAAAAAAAAATAAATAAAAACAGCTTTATGGGGCTGGGGACATGGCTCAAGCGGTAGCACGCTCACCTGGCATGCGTAGGGCACTGGGTTTGATCCTCAGCACCACATAAAAATAAAATAAAGATGTTGTGTCCACCGAAAAAATAAATATTAAAAAATTCTCTCTCTAAAAAAAAATTAAAACAAAAATAAAAACAGCTTTATTCTACTTATTTCTCACGTATTTACATAAAGAAAATTTTAGGATAACCATCATAATGTTAATTTAAATTACTTCTTTTCTGGGTTTGTAGCTCAGTGGTAGAGGGCTTGCTTAGCACACATGAGATGCTGGGTTCAATCCTCAGTACCACATGATAAACTAAAGGGTATTGTGTCTATTTATAACTACAAATGTAAAATTAATTAATTAATTAATTCTAAAATTAAATAAAAGTTTCAGTTCCCTAGTTACCCTTATTTCAACTGCCCAAAACCTGTATGTGGTAGCTGGCTACCACACCGAGAAGCGGAGATTTTAAAAAAAACCCTCCCACCACTGTACAATCTCCTGTGGGGTAGGGTGGCCTCTGGCTAGCACTTCCAGAGATAATATTCATTCTTTTGCATTCTAGTTTTTTTCATATCAAAATATAATGTCACATAGTAAAAATAATGTGAATAATAAAATCCTTCAACCATTGATGCCATCTGACCTATACATCCCAAGACAATAATTTAGAATGAAAAATACTAAAAACAGCTAAGGGGCTGAAGCAGGAGGATCCCAAGTTTAAAGCCAACCTCAACAACTTAGCAAGACCCTGTTTCAAAATTTAAAGAAATAAAAAGAACTGGGGATGTGGCTTCATGGTAAAGCATCCCTCAGTTCAACTTCCAGTACTTAAAAAAATAAAAAAATAAAAAAAAATATATGTATAATAAAAATTTTAAAAATACTCAAATGTTTGGTAAGATAATGTTATGTTACTTTATTTATTTTTTAATATTTTTTTTTAGTTGTAGCTGGACATTAGTTTCATGTTTTACGTAAAGATACGATATATATATTTATTTATTTTTATATGGTGCTGAGGATTGAACCCAGGGCCTCACATGAGCTAGGTGAGCACTCTACTGCTGAGCTACAACCCCAGCCCAATATTAAGTTACTTTAAATGATGATGATGGAAAGTATTGTAATATGTGGGAACATTTGATGAAAAACTAAGAAAAATAGCATAATAGTCATTTCTGTGCTAAGATGTATAAATATATATAATATGTAACACGAAAGGAAGTTATGAATAGTTTAAAGACTTAAATTTTTTTTCTGCATTTCAAAATTATATTCTCACGTAAGGTCTACATTGCACATATAATCTCAATACAAATCTTCAAAATATCCAATAAATGCTAAAAAATTCACTTACGCCCACCAGGCCACCACTTAATGGAGGTCACCGTAGGACTGTTGAGAATGAACTCTTGGGTTTTGGGGTCATACGTGGCAGTGGTTTCCAAGCCTCGAAGATGAGTTCCTATGGAAATAAATTACATTTCCTTTGGATAAACATGTGTAAAAATAGTGGTGCAGGGTAAAACTTCCTGCCCAGTTCATAGCTCTAGTATCTCAGAGAAAAGCAAACCCTAACAACACTACATTTGTAAGATGAGTACAAATGGTTGATAATTAATTTCCCTTTCTATCAGACAGTTTTCCATAGGCTGAAAAGGTATATATCATGCATGTTCCATTTTTACATCTGATTTAGTTAATCTGTAACATTTCTTTAGACCAACCAAAAGAAAATGCAAAGGAAGCTTGGAATTATATTTTCCTAAGATTGTAATGTATGATCCTACCAGGGAAGGTTACTGTCCTTTTAAATCCATCTCTGAGTTTCAATTGTGCAAATTTCCACGATGTGTACTGTGTTTACCACACCACTTCAACATCCTGGAGCTACTTATTACTGAAAATGAGATAATAAGTGACAGGAACAGACTTTAGCTAAAGTTTTTTTTTTTGTAAATTGATAATCTATTTCAGAATAATTGCTAGGATGGAAAATAAGAACTTAAAAAGGTATAGTCATTGAAGAAAAAGGCCTTAAAGAGACTTTTAAAATCCTAGCTGGGTCACAAGTACGACAGGGGAAGGGTTCTTAGTTTCATGTTTTACTAAAGATACGATGGGAACTTGTGTTTTAAAGTCTAATACAAATATGCTAAAATTGTGGACTGGGGATATAGCTTAGTTGATAGAGTGCTTGCCTCACATGCACAAGACCCTGGGTTCGATCCCCAGTACCACCAAAAAAAAAAAAAAAAGCTAAAATTCTTGAAAAGAACCATAGAAAAATGTCCCTGGTGACACTCTAATTAAACTCTACTAAGCAAATACTGAGGACCTTCTACCAAACTACTTGGATAATGCCAGATCTCACTGAATGCTTAAACTATAAAATATTTCAAAATTTTCAAGTAACAGAAATGGCTAGTTTACGTGCAATTAAGTCTTCCCCTGTAGGGGAATCAAGAACCCAGGCACTTATATTCCTTTCACCAAAGAAACTTTAACAGAAAAAAACAAAAATATACTAAACAGAACATATAAAGACAAAATGTTTTCAAATGCACAAGGTACTAAATTATTTTGCTGTGCCTCTTATAAAATCCTGTAAACTACTATTCAGCACTGAGTAGTAAAAGGCAACTCTACAGAATTAAGGAATTAAGAGGCAATACAGTAGGTTTCCTGAAATCTCAGAGCAGAAAAAAAGTAGGAAGAACTAAATAAATGGCAAAAGAGACACCAATTCAGAACAAATAAGAGGAACAGCTACTACCTTTAGCCCCATTTAGGTTCATGAAGCAGGGCAGATGAGGGTGGAAAATAAAGAAAGGTGCTATATACCAAGTCTGAAGCCAACAGCCTGAAAGTACGGCTTATCTTTTAATTTTTCTGGTCAAGCCACCTTCAGAACTTTTCTGGATTTACTGAATCAAAATATAAATAACTTCAAGGCATAAAATGTTGCAAATTTTCATTATACTAAGCTACTCATTTCCCTCATGCAAGCCAAAGAACATACATACATTTAAATATGTACTTCTGGGATCTGCAAAGGTACATTAGGGTATCAGCAGTAATCAGACAGTAACAAAGAAAATACATGGGTTCAAATTCTATGTGTAGATTCTATACAACATGAATGAACTTGAAAAATCATTTGGTAAATAAGGCTTAATTTGTCATTCTTGACCTTTTGAATGGGAACCATAAAAAAATTAATCAGAAAATCACTATGATAACATCACTTTCTTTAATTTCCATGACCAAATCAAACCTGGACTCTGCAGAAGGAGCTCTTTTAAATAGCTCATAGTTGGCTGATGTGCCATTCCTAACAGGAGATGGGCACTCCATACCTGCCCAGCTAGCAGGAGCCCACCCCACCCAGAAGGTAGACTGAACACACTGTACCATGACCCATCTCTGTCTGGGCATAAGTGCCAGTGATCTCCAAATTCCAGGCAGGCATGAAGAAACGCTCCTGCTGTTCCGCAGTGGCCTGGTGAAGCAAGGTGGGTAGGAACATGCCCAAGTGAAGATCCAAAGGCTCAGGTCGCCCTCGGTGCACAAAGCTTCGGAGAAATACCAAGGACGGGCATTTGAAAGAAGCATCATCAGGTGTGAAAGAACCATCAATTTGAACAGATAGAGTGAGGGAAGGAGGGGAAAAAAAAAAAACCTTGGGTGAGTATGAATTAATCATGTGCACTTCACAAGGATGGGAGCACTGCTGCTTTCTGTATTACTTCACAACTCGCAGGCAATCACCACCTTTCTTAAGTTGGCAAGGAGTATAGTAGGGACAGATGCCAATCCCCAAGTCCATGCAGCACAAAGCCACATGTACAAGGTACCACTCCAGTCCAGCAATTAAATCAAAGTTAACAAAAAATTTGAAAAGGTTGTATGGAATGGAGAATTTAAGTAGAATGAGACTACTCTGATGGAAAAGAAACAGGAGAAAACTGCAATTCCTTCAGAGTAACAATATGATTCCTCCCCACTCAAGTTTTTCCTAGATGCAATTTTAATAATGCTTCTAGGTTGGGATATTTTGGCCAACCTGAAATACAAATTAATACAAAAATTGACAGTGCTCTTCATCCCAATAATTTCAATAATCAAAAAGACATGCAATTTCTAGTGCAGACTACAATAATCACAAATTACAGGTCCATGCATAACAAGCGTTCCATTATGATTATTCAGGAATTATCACCAATGATTATAAACATCTTGGTTTTAGTCTTAAATCACTTCTGTGGTCATTTTGTTCCACTTAAAAGTTTGTGTCTCAGATTTCTTTCTAAGATTAGGAACAGTTCTATATGCCTCTGTGTGCTTCAAGTCACTAGCATTCTGTTTCATCTCCAGCTCCCAATTAATCAACTATATATTGTAGCTATTATTCTACTTAATTATCTTAGAAATGAGCTTATACAATGTTTCAGGTTTTAAATTTCTCAGTTTGTTCTAAGGTAAGTAGGAAAATAATGAGGTCCCATTGCTCAGACAAAGCCTGATCAATGACTTGCAATCAAGTAGATGGGCTTTTAGCTAACCAACCACATAAAAATCAAAGAATGTGTGGCACACACCAATAAATATCCCAGCGACGTGGGAGGGTGAGGCAGGAGGACTGTAAGTTTGAGGCAAGCCTCAGCAACTTAGGTGAGACTCTGTCTCAAAAAATAAAAAAAGCCTGGATATAGCTCAGTGCTAAAGCATCCCTGGGTTCAATCCCCAGTATGGGAGAAGGGCTATAAGTTGGGTGAGAGGAAAATCAATTGAATTCTTATCTATTAGGATCATTCATATGAAACCCCAAAAAAGAGAAAAATATTTTGTATAAAAGTAACAAAATATTGAAATTTTATTAAGCAACTTAGCTCCTTCCACTGGCACTGAAACCTGGGAGCAGCCTTTCAGTATTGTCATGGGAGGCTATTTTGTGTTACTAGAAATCAGTGATTCTTGGTGAAGGCAAGGCCACAAGGGAGCCCTCATCAGACTCAAGGGGTGCACCTGTGTGGTGTGCTATGGAGTAACACTGAGCACCGAGGGCCACCATGGAATACATGTAAGGCAGCGGGTACAACTACTACAATCAGAAACTGAAGAACACTTTTGATTAAAAAATGTTTCTCATTAAAATATGATTCAGAAGTAGATAAAATTTAGAAATGCTACAAGGAGAAAGTGATGGGTTTTTTGACTCAAACCAAGTATTTGTTGTAAAAAGTTGATTTGGTATGATGATTACATATTTCTCTTAACTAATTTATCATAAAATTAAAAAACACCAGCTGAGGTTGGTGGTGCATCGCTGTAATCCCAGCTATTTAAGAAGCTAAAGCAGGAGAATAACAAGTCCAAGGCCAGTGTGGGCAACTTATATCGAGACACTGTCTCAAAACAAAATTTTAAAAGAGTTGGAAGGGAGTATAGCTCAGTGGTACAGTGCTCATGCATGAAGTGTGGATTCAATCTCCAATAATACAAGAAATGAGAAAACAAAAAACAACAAAGTACCATGATTATACTGAGAGAAGCACTAGAGTCAGTTCTTTTTACACCGTATACCAAACTGCCTTTCCAGGTCTCTCCTACAAGCTACCAGGATGAAAACCAATACTAAGAGGAAAATAGCTTAATACACGAAAAAAATAAAAATAGCATCTCTATGGATAGCATGATTATAATTCTGAAATCAACAAAAACAACAAAATACAGCAAATAATTAACTGAGAAAATCTTTAAGGCTACAAACAGAGTGGAAAAAAAAATCTACTGAATTCTTATTCATTAGGTTCATTCATATGGAAATGAATGAAAAGAGAAAGACAATTTATATAAAATAACAAAATACAGGTTGTGGCTCAGCAGTAGAGTGCCTGGCATGTATGAGGCACTGGGTTCGATCCTCAGCACTCCCATAAAAATAAATAAATAATTAAATAAATGAAGGTAGTGTGTCCAACTACAACTAATAAAAAATTTTTTTTTAAATAACAAAATATGGAAAATTTGTTAAGCAACTTAACTCAGGATATTATAAGATTTATATTTAAGAAAAAAAACAATACTTGCCAGGTGCAGTAGCACACACCTGTAATCCCAGTGGCTTGGAAGACTGAGGCAGGAGATCGTAAGTTCAAAGCCAGTCTCAGCAATTTAGCAAGGCCCTAACAAATTAGTGAGAATCTGTTTCAAAATAAAAAATAAAAAGGGCTGGAGATATGGCTCAGTGATTAAGTGCACCTGTGTTCAATCTCCAGTACCAAACAACAACAACAAAAGACCAAATAAATGTTATTTCTTTTTTACTCAAACATGTATTTTGAGGTAAAAATAGGAGCCTTATCCTATCAGATTTAAAACTATATTAAAAAACAGCAATGAGGGCTGGGATTGTGGCTCAGTGGTAGAACGGGTGGGACCAGGGTTCAACCCTCAGCACCACATAAAAATAAATATTGTGTCCATCTATAACTAAAAAATTTTTAAAAAGAAGTTGCTAAAGATATGGTAAATCAGGCTGGGGTTGTAGCTCAGAGGTAGAGCACTTGCCTACCATGCATGAGGCACTGGGTTTGATCCTCAGCATCACATAAGTAAAATAAAGACACTGTGTCCACCTACAACTAAAAAACAAATATTTAAAAAAATATATACTGTACATTGTTCTGTTGTTTTAGGAAAAGTCTCAAACTATGCATGCAATAAAAACTAGAAAATGTTCATTCCCTTCAAAGCAGTAATTCATTTCTGAGAAAGATATTCCAAAGATAAAACTCCAAAGAATACTGTTTTGCATGTGTGGTGCTGGCAATCAAACCCAGGCACTCTACCACTGAATTATATCCCCAGCATAGAATATAGATCTTTATAAAGTTTATATTATTATCAATAATGGTGGGGAAATTGGAATGACCTAAATACCCAGAGGAAAAAATCTCATAGAATCAACAAAAAGAGAATCATTTGGGAAAAAGAGAACAGAAGAGTTATCTAGCATGTGGAGAGAAAGTAGTGAAAAGGCAAGGAAAGAGTAGTGACTTACAAAAATCAAGTTCACTACTGGTCTTTACTTTCAAAGGAAAAAAGGTGCTTTATTTAATATTTAAGTATCAATAAGCCAGGCATGATGACATGCACCTGTAATCTCAGCTACTCAGGAGGATTAAGAAGGATTGCAAGCTAGAGGCCAATTTAGCAAGACAACTTAGGCAACCTAGCAAGACCCTATCCCCAAATGAAATTAAAAGAGCTGGGGATGTACCTCAGTGTCAGTGCTTGCCTACCAGGTACAAGGCCCTGAATTCAATCCCCCCAATACCATGGGGGAAAAAAAAAAAAAGTCATGAAAAAAGTATTAACAGGGCTGGGGACGTGGCTCAAGCGGTAGCGCGCTCGCCTGGCATTCCTGCGGCCCGGGTTCCATCCTCAGCACCACATACAAACAAAGATGTTGTGTCCGCTGAGAACTAAAGAATAAATATTAAAATTCTCTCTCTCTTTAAAAGAAAAGAAAAGAAGGCAAAAAGAATCCCCATGAAGAGATCAATGAAGAACTAATATACCAGTAGAATGAATCAGACATTATTACCCTTCGTGCATATATGACATGAGGCGTAATTCTATACCATGCAGAACCAGAAGAATGATGTTATATTCCATTTATGTCAAAATGCATCCTACAATCATGTATAACTAATTAGAACAAATAAAAAATTTATATATATATATATAATTTTTTTTTTTTTTTTAAAGAACATACTACCCACTTGTGGTCTAAAGATATATGTGTGGTCAGAATGGTAATGCTGGACCAACTTCCACAGGCCGTCCCTTCAATCCCAGAACCCCAGGTAAGACAGCCCCCTTGGTTCTGGCCTCAGCCTTTAATTAAGACTCACAATCCCACAGAACAAGTGTGTTCGAGTTTTCTGGCATGTTTTTAGAAGAGGGAGGACATGCTGTGGGAGAAGAGATAAAGTGGTAATGAAGTCTTTCTGCAGGTAACTAGACTGCCACCTCCCTGATGCTGACAAACTTTTTATTGCTTGCTTGTTTTTGGTAGTGGGGATTGAGCCCAGGGTACACTTCCTCAACCTCCAAGACACAGGTGTGAACCACCATGCTAGGCTTACCTACTCTATATGAGGTAATACTGTCCTGTGATACAAATTAACCAACAAAGTAACTGGTTTACTTAGAAAAGAATAGAAGTCGGGGCAGAAGTCAACATAAAACATCAATATAAATTAATAACATCCCAGCAAGAAACAAAACTTAATCTCACAACACTATTCTAAAGTAAACTACAGAGATTAATACAAAATCTGTTTAAACATAAGAAAATACTTATTTGGAAGCAATATAGGAAAGAAAATGTAGCAAATGTAAATAGAACAACATAGAATCTTAGCCCAATTTCTGTTCTCAAATCAGTGAAGTTCAAGTCTTCATTTCTTTCTCCCTCTCTTTGAAATTTAGGGCAAATACACATTTGCAATGCACTTTGTAGAGGCAGAAGTAGTAAACCAATTAGAGAAAGAGAGACCCATTAGCCTCAGGATATTTCACATCTTATGTCACTTATGAAGGATGTTATTAAGTCAATTAAATGCTAAAGTGATATATATGAAAACAAAAAAAGGGTTTGTACCACAAAGCTACTTCAAGATTACAAGCATTCATGCATGCACGGACACACACACACACTCTCTCTCTCTCTCTCTCTCTCTCTTTCTCTCTCTCTCTCAGAGAGAGGAAGACTGTATAAAGAATGTTATCTTTCTTTCCTCAGGAAATCTTTGATTCTAATTTCAGGATTGGTATCCTGACACCAACGTCTTGAGTGTTTAGTAAGGAGCTTGTAATGTGAACAGAATCTGCAGTCCCCATGGAGGTATTCTGATAACTAACACTTTCCTTAAACCAATTCATAAATCAAAGAGTAGCCAATTAAAAATTAAACACAAAGTTAAGTTTTCCTGATTCTTACAGCCCTTCCACCTTCCCTTCCATTTTCACAGTGAGATGAGACTGAGCAGGCTCAAATTCAAAACACTCAAACCTGCCAATGGCTTTATCTATGAAATGAACCTATTTCATATTAAGATGACTACTTTTCAGATTACTGAAAGTAGTCAGGCATTTAGGAACAATTTAAGAATTACTGGCAATACAGGGTCCACAGATATGTATGGAAAAATATTTGTAAAGACTGTTGAAGTCAGATAAAGAGAACTATGCAATTTTTCTCCTAACTACAGGGTTGCTACTGATCAACGGAAGAGTAAGACGTTTACCTGCCATCACCCTATATCCATTAAAATCCACATCTAATTTTCTTAAAGCAGAGAGACATATTCCAAATATTACTAACCCTCTGAAGAATTTCCAAAGTTTTTAATAAATGCACCAACATAACAGTGTGCTTTGATACCTTTAAACCACAGCTTTCCAAACTGCTTAGCACTTGTTCACAGGACAATGATAAAAGGTTTTAAGAAATAACACTGAAGGATGTAAACAGGCCAGAGTTTTGGGCCAACTTAGGGGAAAATAAATAACCTAGGAGAAAAAGAGAAGCCAAATTTTTAAGTAACAATTTAAAAATAAAATCCAAAACATCTAGCAGCAGAAAAAAATTAAAATAAAATGGCAGGAGTCACTTTTAAGTGAAGTCCTGAGGTGGATTACCCGCGGACCCTCAGATGTGGACTAACCGTGACCCATTTCCGTCTGGGCGTAGGTGCCAATTATCTGGAGTCCTTTAGATGAGTGCAGCCATTTCTCTTGCTGAGCAGTGGTGCCCTGATTCAGCAAGGTAGGAATAAACATGGAGTAATTGAGGCCCACAGGTTCCACAAAATTGACCAATTGTAGTCTACAGGAGAGAAAAGAAAAGGATCTCAGCCTTACTCTAGAAACTGCATCCCTATCAACCAATCCTAACAACCTTATCCCTTAGGATGAAAGTCAGGAAAACTGAAATCCCTTTCTTATTAAATTAAATGTCAATTTTACTATTTTATTACCTAAAAAGTCAACATAAGGAACTGGTGGTATCTCTCTCTCCCTCTGATAATTTCAGGGTCATAATTCTGGTGCTAGGGATTGAAGCTAGGGCCTCACTATGCTAAGCAAAGACTTAACAAGAGCCACACACACACCCAGACCCCAGAATTCCTTTTTAAATTCTACACTAAATCCCAAACAATTGGTTTTGTTGGTGTTATTCGATGGTTTGATGGGTTGAACTTTTTTTTTTTTTAGTTTTATTTGTTTTTGCATTACTTTCAGGTTTTACTAGTTTGTTTTGAACATCAAAAGAAACTCCATAGAACACTGATTTGCAGAACTGTTAACAAAAGATCTTAAGAATAATTTAAACTATCTTTCCCAAAATGATCTAAGCAAATATACCAGAGAGTAAATGTATATTCCAGAACAGAATTAAAGATGTCTAAAAGTCCCCAGGGTTCATGGATGGGTAATAGGTCATGTGTACAGGTTAAAAACTTACCCAAAGGCCAATGAATATTACCCCAGATTAAGGGAACTTTACATCACACTGAATTCAGCCCTCATCTATCTTCTCATAATACAAATCCATGAAATAGTCAAAATACAAATTACACATACTAGTATGTTTTGGTTATGATGTCTTGTAGATTTTCTAGGGGTGTATTTTGTACTTTGACACATCCTAAGAGCTTAAAATACAAAATACATATTATCTTACTGATCTTCATGTGTTCTCAATGAATGACTAGGAGGGCAGTATATCTCAGCCTGTCCAGGAACAGAGTATGAACAAGGCATCAAAGAGTAAGCTGCCGGTCCACTCTAGGGAAGCCCTGAAGCCATCCTACTTCCTTAACAGAAGCAACCGCAAACACAAAATACCCTCTTATTTTTCTATTTTCTAAGTAAATACTGTTCAAATTATCTGATTGTTTTCTATATTATTCAAATCATAAACCAATTAGAAATCAACCACTCTCTGGATAGATGCTCTTAGATATTATTATTATTATTATTATTATTACTACTACTTTTAGGTACTGGCAATTAAACCCTAGAGTGCTCTGCTGCTGAGTCACATACCCATTCCTTATATTTTGAGGCAGGGTCTCACTAAGATGCTAGGGCCTTGCTAAGTTGCTGAGGCTGCAATTTTCCTGCCTCAGCCTCCCAAGTCACTGGGATTACAAAAATGTGCTACCTCACCTGACTAGATACTAATACTTCTATTTAACCAGTGATCTGTTATAATTCTTACAGATCCCACTAGAAGGAATGTACCCAAAGTTGTGTAAAAGTGAATAGAGGTTGCTGGTTAGCATCAGTAAAAAATGTTTTCTCTGCATCAATGGTTTCAGTCATAAGCTTAGGGTAGAAAATCACATTTCAGGAATGCTAGGGATAAACACTGCCAAATATCCAAGAAATGACTGGCTAGCCAACGTCTTAATAGGCAAATAGAGAAACAAACAACAACAAAGCCTTTTAGCCCAAACATTGGAGGAAAATAGGAGGATGAGGATTAAGAACAGGGAAGTTTATTTCTAAGTACTCTAGTTAAGCAGCAGTTTACCCCTTTATTACGCAAGTTCCATAATGCGGACAATATACCATATCTCAAGCATTCTACCTCTAAAACCAACCAGTAATTATACCCTTCCCATTTCCTTTCATAAATATATAAAGAAACAATCATATAGAATGTCTGAGAAATAAAAGCAGTAGCTGGACATGGTGGTACATGCCTGAGATTCTACCTACTTAGGAAGCCAGTACAGGATTACAACAAATTCAAAGTCAACCTGAACAACCTACTAAGCCCAGCTTAAAATAAAATTTAAAAAGTGCAGGGGATGTAGCTTAATGGTAGAATACATGCTTAGCACTTGAAAGGTCCTGGGTTCCTTCCCAATACCACAAGAAAAAAAGAGAGAAGAGCCAGGCACCCATGGCACACATCTGTAATCCCAGCAACTAGGGAAGCCAGCCTCAGCACTTAGCAAGACCTCGTCTCAAAATTTAAAAAAATAGGGCTGGGGCTATAGCTCAGTTGGTAGAGTGCTTGCCTTGCATGCACAAGGCCCTGGGCTAGATCCCCAGCACCCCCTCAAAAAAAAAAAATTAAATAAAAAGATTGGGGATGTGGCTCAGTGGTAAAATGTCTCTGAATTAAATCCTCAGCTCCAAAAAAAAAGGAAAGAGAAGACAAAAAAGTGGCATGGTAATTTGGGTAAAACTATTAAGGCACTCACATTCCATGAGAGAACCAAAAAGGCCAAATAATTTAGTAAAGTACTCTGAAAATGATACTAACGGGGGCTGGGGTGGTGGCTCAGCGATAGAGTGCTTGCCTAGGGCGTGTGAGGTCCTGGGTTCGATCCTCAGCACCACATAAAAATAAATAAATAATGGGCTGGGGATGTGGCTCAAGCGGTAGCACGCTCGCCTGCCTTGCGTGCGGC